CAGAGAGAGAGAGAGAGAGAGAGAGAGAGAGAGAGAGAGAGAGAGAGAGAGAGAGAGAGAGAGAGAGAGAGAGAGAGAGGGGGGGGCCTGAAATGAGAGTAGGAACTAGATAGAGATGCGACACAAGAATAGATTTCCCGAATTAAGAACATAAACAAAACTTCTTACTCTAGTCGGAATCGCTGAGTATTGAATGAAAACAAATCCTGAATTTAGATGGTATCTTCAACCTGAGAAATGATCGTGAAAATATCTCATAAAATATTTATTCCAACTAGCACTAAATTTAACTGTTTGTTTGTTTTAGTAGAGTTTTTACGGCGCTTGCAACTGCATAAGATCATATTAGCGCTAGGTGGTGGATGTCAACAAAGAAGTCTTTACAGGGAATCAGGCTTACTCTGCTCACCTCGCTGACTTTAAAATTAAACAGCACAAAGTCTGCTTCGACTATCAAGGCACCCCGGAAATAGAGGGTCACAAGAGTGTGACAAACATACATAAGAAGTTGACGGAAATGACGTTAAAGAGGATTAGGGAAGAAAAAGCAGTAGTTCCCTGTTGCAGTTCGGGCACAGTTAGGAACATTTCATTGGTGCATCAACCCATTTACAAGTCTACTGTGCACAAGAACATGTTTTAGTCCCCCTTTTGGGAATGGCCTAAAGACACTTGAGTCAGTAGCACCGCCCCCGGGTTGTTAACTGTAGATATGAATACACACAGAAAAAGAGATGAAGCTGAGATGCCAATACAACAAGTTATACATGACAATTATCAATTCGATTTCAATTTGGCAGGGATTTTTTTTGTCTGTATCTTTTTGCAGCTATGTGCTGGTGTCATAATGGAGGTTAGGGTCTGATTAAAGGATGGTTAAAACGTGGCAGGGAAAAAAAGCAAGCATGCACGAGATTATCAGGAGTTCGTCCCCCTCACCTTTGTGAGGTAGACTCGACCAGTGTAATAGTTAGCTTGCATAATCACTCCTTGTGACTGCTTATGGCAGTGCCCCTAAAGGGGTGAACAAGGTATTTATGCGGCAATGAAACAGTTTTGAATGTTGTGCACATATTCCCTTCGCCTCTCTGATTTTAGACTCTTCCAGCCTTATTCTAAGCATAAATAATCAGCGTTTGAGACTGCTTATGGAGTGGCCAAAAGGGGTGAACAGGGGATTTATGTGGCATGGAAACAGTTTTGATAGTTAGGCGTACTATTCCTTGGGGATAATGAACGTTTACTTACAATTGGAGGCCTTCATCAATGGGTGAATATGACAGTGACGATGGTTGGTCATAAAGAGAGAGAGAGAGAGAG